CTTAAGCAGTCCTCCCATCTTGGCCTCCCAAAGTGCTGGGATTACTGGTGTGAACCACCATGCCCAGCCTTGATAAATAATTAAGTGGGCTGGGCGCAGTGGCTCATGCCTTTAATCCCAGCGCTTTGGGAGGCCGAAGTGGGTGGATCATGAGGTCAAGAGATCGAGACCATCCTGGCCAACATAGTGAAACCCCGTCTTTACTAAAAATACAAAAATGGCCGGGTGCGGTGGCTCAAGCCTGTAATCCCAGCACTTTGGGAGGCCGAGGCGGGTGGATCACGAGGTCGAGAGATCGAGACCATCCTGGTCAACAAGGTGAAACCCCGTCTCTACTAAAAATACAAAAAATTAGCTGGGCATGGTGGTGTGTGCCTGTAATCCCAGCTACTCAGGAGGCTGAGACAGGAGAATTGCTTGAACCCAGGAGGCGGAGGTTGCGGTGAGCCGAGATCGCGCCATTGCACTCCAGCCTGGGTAACAAGAGCGAAACTCCGTCTCCAAAAAAAAAAAAAAAAATAAAAAATACAAAAATTAGCCTGGTGTGGTGGCTCGAGCCTGTAGTCCCAGCTACTAGGGAGGCTGAGGTAAGAGAATCACTTGAACCTGGGAGAAAGATGTAGCAGTGAGCCGAGATTGTGTCACTGCACTCCAGCCTGGTGACCGAGTGAGACTCCATCTCAAAAAAAGAAAAAAGAAAAAAGAAAGAAAAAAAATTAGTTGGATGTGGTGGCACACTGCTGTAATCCCAGATACTTGGGAGGCTGAGGCAGGAGACTAGCTTGAACCTGGGAGGTGGAGGTTGCAGTGAACCGAGATTGTGCCACTGCACTCCAATCTCGGTGACAGAGCAAGACTCCATCTCAAAAATAAATAAATAAATAAATAAGTTGTGGTATCTGCTCTAGGGTTTACATGGGTGGGAGGTTTTAGCAACAGGTAGGATACATGATCATATATCTTCATTGGAATTGATTACTCAAACATTTTCTTTCTTTCTTTCTTTCTTTTTTTTTTTTTTTTTTTGAGACGGAGTTTCACTCTTGTTACCCAGGCTGGAGTGCAATGGCGCGATCTCGGCTCACTGCAACCTCCACCTCCTGGGTTCAGGCAATTCTCCTGCCTCAGCCTCCTGAGTAGCTGGGATTACAGGCACGCGCCACCATGCCCAGCTAATTTTTTGTATTTTTAGTAGAGACGAGGTTTCACCATGTTGACCAGGATGAGGTCTCGATCTCTTGACCTCGTGATCCACCCGCCTCAGCCTCCCAAAGTGCTGGGATTACAGGCGTGAGCCACCGCGCCGGGCCAGGTTACTCAAACATTTTCAGCTCATGAAGAAAACAGCCCTTCTGGGTTACAATGGTTTTAGCCCAAACTCCTTTTTTCTTCTGATAAATATTTCTCGGATATTTCTTCCTTGTCCCCCTTTCCATCCCCTCAATCCTTATTAATTTATCACCCTGTTTGAAATGGTCTCTACTGGGATAGAGGTACAGGGGTCCCTGAAGTAGCATTGTCATCTGAAATCCAGTAAGGATGTGCAACCTTCCCAAATGTTGGTTTGGGTGAGAATCAAAGATGAAAGCACCTGGGCCACCAATAGTTGGTTGAAATCCAGTTGAAAAATCAGATCGTTCAGGTATAACCTTAAGACAAAATTAAAACAAAGAAAAAAGAAAAATCAGATCTTGCTAGGTGTGGTAGCTAATGCCTATAATCCCAGCACTTTGGGAGGTAAAGGCAGGCAGATCACCTGAGGTCAGGAGTTTGAGACCAGCTTGAGCAACAGGGCAAAACGCTGTCGCTACTAAAAATACAAAAATTACCCAGGCACGGTTGTGGGTGCTTGTAATCCCAGCTGAGGTGGGAGAATCGATTGAACCTGGGAGGCGGAGGTTGCAGTGAGCCAAAATTGCACCATTGCATTCCAGCCTGGGTGACAGAGTGAGATTCATCTCAAAAAAAAAAAAAAAGAAAAAAAAAAAAAAGAAAAAAGAAAAAAGAAAAAAAATTAGATCTCTCAATAGCAAAAGAAAAGGGAAAACAAAACAAAACAGACAGAAAAATCAAAGAAAAAAGCCCTGACCCTAGTCATGCCTCTCAGAAGGCAAAGAAGCCAGGCAGGCTGAAGGACCACCGAGTTGGCCAGGAACAGTGGCTCACACCTGTAATCCCAGCACTTTGGGACACTGAGGCAGGAGGATCGCTTCAGGCCGAGAGTTCAAGACCAGCCTGGGCAACACAGTGAGACTCCATCTCTACAAAACATTTTAAAAGTAGCATGATGGGCTGGGCATAGTGGCTCAGCCTGTAATCCAAGCACTTTGGAGGCCAAGGCGGGCGGATCACCTGAGGTCGGGAGTTCAAGACCAGCCTGACCAACATGGTGAAACCCCGTCTTTAAAAAAAAAAAAGTATCGTGATATAGTGGGATGTGCCTGTAGACCTAGCTACTTGGGAGGCTAGGGTAGGTGGATCGTTTAAGCCCAGCAGTTCAAAGCTGCAGTGACCTATGATTGCATCACTACACTCCAGCCTGGTCAAAAGAGTGAGATCTTATCTCTAAAAACTTAAAACAACAACAAAAAAATCTTTTTTGAGATTAAGTCTTGCTTTGTCACCCAGGCTGGAGTGCAGTGGCATGATCTCGGCTCACTGCAACCTTTGCCTCCTGGGTTCAAGCAATTCTCCTGCCTCAAGCTCCTGAGTAGCTGGGATTACAGGTGTGTACCACCATGCCTGGCTAGTTTTTGTATTTTTAGTAGAGATGGAGTTTCAGCATGTTGGTCAGGCTGGTCTCGAACTCCTGACCTCATGATCTGCCCGCCTCAACTTCCCAAAGTACTGGGATTATAGGCGTGAGCCACTGCGGTGGGCTTAAAAAATTTTTTTTAAGGAGTCCGGATTCTTGACCGTGTCAGTAAAGTTAAGATGGTCGAGTGGGAAAGAGAAAACGGATCAAAGTGTCTCAAAATGAGCCCAGTTACCCCTTTGGCTTAGTTTGGCAACCCTGTTATACCTAAAGTAGGAACTGCAGCTACAGAGGATGTTCTTGTGGGCATTGAACTCAAAGCCATTGACCTTGATGACCACGTCGCAGAGCTTGCCCTCTAGCCTAAGCTCGTTGAAGATCTCACAGGTCATCGCACTCATCTTCCTCTCCATGTGAGGCTGGTGGAAACGTGTGGAGGCCGCCATGCTCTCCATCTCCATGGCACCCCGGGACCAGCGGAGAGAGGTTGCTCTCCTAGAGTGTTGGGGAGGGTTGTGGGGGGCCCCTTTAGCCAGCTGTCGCTCCTTTTCCCTACTACATCTTTCGTATAGGGCCTATCAGGCAGACCAAGTTCCAGAATCCTGGGCCTGCAGTGAGATCATGCAGGATTGTGCTCTCAGGTTCTGGAACTGCCTCCTGGCCTTGTGCACTTCCTTCTCCCCTCCCCCCTACCCCACTTAGGTTGAAAACCACCTCATACCTCCTTCTGTGTCCTCGAACCCAGAACAGAACCGTGACCACTAGCACCATCTGAGCACCATCTGAGTGTTTATTGGTTCCAGCTCCTGTTACTCACCTGATACAGGTCTCTATCCCTGGAGCATCCATCTACCTTTCGCCGCCCAACACGTGGCTCCCTAGACACTGAACTCAAGGAAATCCAAGTCACTTGAGGCTGAAGGGAAAAGTAAAGCTGATTAAATTTATTTATTTCCTCCCCTCCCTCCCTCCCTCTTTCTCTCTTTCTTTCTTTCTTGACAGTTTCTCTCTGTTGCCCAGGCTGGAGTGCAATGGCATGATCTTGGCTCACTGCAACTTCCGTCTCCCAGGTTCAAGCGATTCTCTTGACTCTTCAAGCAATTCTCCTGACTCAGTCTCCCAAGTAGCTGAGATTATAGGCATAAGCCACCATGCCCAGCTAATTTTTGTATTTTTAGTAGAGATGGGGTTTCACCGTGTTGGTCAGGCTAGTCTTGAACTCCTGATGACTGCAGATGATCCACCAGCCTCAGCCTCCCAAAGTGCTGGGATTATAGGTGTGAGCCACCCCGCCCGGCAAAGTTTCTTTTTTTAGAGACGAGTCTCGCTCTGTCACCCAGGCTGGAGTGCAATGGTGTGATCATAGCTCACTGCAGCCTCGACCTCCTGGGCTCTAGTGATCCTCCCACCTCAGCCTCTTGAGTAGCTGGGATTACAGGTGCTTGCTACCATGCCCAGGCAACGCTGATTACATTTCAGAACGCTGTCCCAGGTCTCCCAGCCCCTAGATGGGTTAGTTACTCAGTTTCTTCTGGAATGAGGAATGGCCTAGTTAACAGAGCACCTTCTGGGTGATTAACAGAATTCGGTTTATGGCTCCTTCATCTCTCCTCCCATCCAGCCGTGTGTTTTTCTGTTTTTGTTTCTGAGACAGGGTGTCATCTGTCGCCCAGGCTAGAGTACAGTGGTGCAATCTCGGGTCACTGCAGCCTGGACCTTCCGGGCTCAAGTGATCCTTCCGCCTCAGCCTTCCGCGTAGCTGGGACTACAGATGCCCATCACTACGCCCGGCTGATTTTTATATTTTGTGTAGAGACGGGGTTTCGCCATGTTGCCCAGGCTGGTCTCGAACTCTTTGGCTCAAGTGATCCTCCTGCCTCGGCCTCCCAAAGTTCTGGGATTACAGGCGTGAGCCACCGCGCCTGGCCCAGGTATATTTTTGCCACACAAACTTTCAGCCTGGGAATGACCACACTTGGCAAGGTTTTTCCTCCACAAAGCGTGGCAGAACTCTACCCACCCACGTAACCCCAACACCTTGGGACCTTCACCCTGCTCTTCACAGTAAATAGAACCCTCCGCCAGTTTGCCTAGCGCACCAGGTAAGCACACCCAGATCGCGGCAAGCTCCGTGATCCCTCAATTCTAGGCCCCGCCCCGCCCCGCCCCCGCCCCGCCCCCGCCCCGCCCCCGCCCCCGGTCACCGGCCCCGCCCCTCCCCGCCTCCGGCCCCCCGTCCCAGGCTCTTAGCGCGAAACGACGCCTGCGCAGATGCGGCCACCCGGCTGTCGTTGTACCCCGCGCCGCCGAGCGGGCCTCGAACGGGATGGCAGAGGAGGTGAGGTGGGAGGAAGCGTGCGGCGTGGGGCGGGCCCCGACTCCGACCCCCGGGGCGCTCCGAGCCCCCCAGCGGGTAGCCGAGGCACCGCCGCTCCACCCAGGCCAGTAGCGGCCGCCGCGCGCACCCCGGTCCAGCCCAACACGCGCGCCTGAGCGAGCCCCCGGCTCCCCTCGGGCCCATCGCAGCGCGGGGGTCAGTGGTTCTCTCGGGTCTCGGGACAGGTGAGCGCCCTGATGAAGGCCACGGTCCTGATGCGGCAGCCCGGGCGGGTGCAGGAGATCGTGGGCGCCCTCCGCAAGGGCGGCGGAGACCGGTTACAGGTACCTCTGGGGCGAGGTGGGGGCAGCTGGGGCGGCTTCCTACCCACTGGGCCTTCCCGCTTTCCTCGGCTGCGGACCCTGCTAGCTCTCCGCCCCAAGGAATGGCCGGGAGCTTGAACGAGAGTGGGTTGGTTCGCCTGTTCTAAAACCTAGATTTCGGATTTCTCAATCTGGTCATGCTGCTTCCTCTAATTGGACAGAAGGCTCGCCAAACCAGTACCTGGGGCCTTATCCTCCCCAGGCCAGCGCCTCCCCAATAAGATGAAGATGTCCAGATGGGTCATAATGGTGTACATCTCTTAGGGAGGACCTGATATTGAAGGAGTTAGAGGGGTCCTGAGTCTTCACCCTCACCCCCACACTAGAAGACTGCGTTTTCCTGGGGTTAACAGGGGTGCTAATTAGGATCACCTCCTCCCTATTCTCTGTCTCTCGGTAAACTCCCCTATGGCTTTGCCTATATCCTGGCCACTGAACTGTTTTGATTTCCATAGTCATCCCCCAGGCTGAGGCAGAGCCACACTAGAAGGTGCCTGTTTAGGCATCATCTCTCTTTTGCCTTATAGGTGATTTCTGATTTTGACATGACCTTGAGCAGATTTGCATTTAATGGAAAGCGATGCCCTTCTTCTTACAGTAAGTTACATGCTAGCTTCCCTTGTTGGGCTTGACAAGATGACGGGTTCTAAGGGACACATAAAAGGAGTTTTCTCTTTTTCCAGATATACTGGATAATAGCAAGATCATCAGTGAGGAGTGTCGGAAAGAGGTGGGTTACTCCCGTCCTTTGCTCATAAATGGCTGTCATGTGCTTCTTCAGATGGTTCCTGGTTGGAACCAAAGAATCCAGTAGAGGGACCTTAGAAAATTAAGTTTTTTGTTTTTTTGTTTTTTTGAGATGGAGTCTTGCTTTGTGGAGTCTTGATCTCGGCTCACTGCAACCTCCGCCTCCTGGGTTCAAGCGATTCTCCTGCCTCAGCCTCCCGAGTAGCTGGGACTACAGGCATGCGCCACCACACCCAGCTAATTTTTGTATTTTTAGTAGAGATGGAGTTTCACCATGTTGGCCAGGATGGTCTCAATCTCTTGACCTTGTGATCCGCCCGCTTTGGCCTCTCAAAGTGCTGGGATTACAGGCATGAGCCACTGCGCCTGGCAGAAAATTAAGTTTTTTTTTTTTTTGAGGCAGAGTTTTGCTCTTCTTACCCAGGCTGGAGTGCAATGGCGCGATCTCGGCTCACCGCAAGCTCCGTCTCCTGGGTTCAGGCAATTCTCCTGCCGCAGCCTCCTGAGTAGCTGGGATTACAGGCACGTGCCACCATGCCCAGCTAATTTTTTGTATTTCTTTTTTTAGTAGAGACAGGGTTTCACCATATTGACCAGGATGGTCTCGATCTCTTGACCTCGTGATCCACCCACCTCGGCCTCCCAAAGTGCTGGGATTACAGGCTTGAGCCACCGCACCCAGCCTAGAAAATTAAGTTTTTAAAAAAGTGTTGATTTGCTAAGGAGGATCTAGTTTTAATACATAAAGAGAGCTTTTCCTTACTGACCAGGACATATAATGATTAATGGTTGGAACTGGACATTATGCTGACTTAGAGTTTAGAAGAGATTTGAACATTATGGGGGTTCAGTAACTTACCCAGGGTCATACAGCCAAATGGTAGAGCTTGTTAGTTTGTTGTGAGACAGGGTCTCACTTTGTTACCAAGGTGGAGTGCAGTGGCTTGATCACTGCTCACTGCAGCCTTGACCTCCTAGGCTCAAGCAATCCTCCTGCTTCAGCCTACCTAGTAGCTGGAACTACAAGTGTGTGCCATTACACCTAGATAATTTAAAAAAATTTTTGTAGTGGCCAGGCACGGTGGAACGTGCCTATAGTCCCAGCTACTTGGGAAGCTGAGGTGGGAGGATCACTTGAGCCTAGGAGTTCTGGGCTGTAGTGTGCTATGCCGATCGGGTGTCCACACTAAGTTCAGCATCAATATGGTGACCTCTGGGGAGCGGGGGACCACCAGGTTGCATAAGGAGGGGTGAACCGGCCCAGGTCGGAAATGGAGCAGGTCAGAACTCCCTTGCTGATCAGTAGTGGGATCTTGCCTGTGAATAGCCACTGCACTCCAGCCTGGGCAACATGGAGAGACTCCGTCTCTTTAAAAAAAATTTTTTTTGTAGAGATGGGGTCTTACTATGTTGCCTAGGCTGGTCTTGAACTCCTCAGCTCAAGCACTCCTCACTTGCAGGGTGAGTGCAAAGGAATGACCAGCTCTGTGGGTCCCGGTGCTCCCTGGACTTCACCAAATAGGTAAAAATTTGAGTGTATTGAGCAATGATGTTGGAAGATAATAAGAGAAGAGAAACTTAGGTCTTATAAATGGCATGTCCCCAAAGGAAAACTTCAAGAAAATTTCATGTAACACTCTCTTACATGAAGTTGCATTTTTTTTTTTCTTTCTTTTGAGACACAGTTTTACTGTGTTGCCCAGGCTGGAGTGCACTGGTGCGATCTCTGCTCTCAGCTCACTCCGCCTCCTGGGTTCAAGCGACTCTCATTCTTCAGCCTCCTGAGTACCTGGGATTTTTTTTTTCTTTTTTAATAAATGGGGTTTCACCATGTTGGTCAGGCTGGTCTTGAACTCCCGACCTCAGGTGATCTGCCCGCCTTGGCCTCCAAAGTGCTTGGATTACAGTCGTGAGCCACCACACCCAGCCAGTACCTGGGATTAAAGGCGTATGCCATTACACCTGCTAATTTTTTTATTTTTTTAGTGGAGACAGGGTTTTTGCCATGCTGGCTAGGCTGGACTTGAACTCCTGACCGCAAGTGATCCACCTGCCTCAGCCTCCCAGAGCGCTGGGATTACAAGTGTGAGCCACCACAGCAGCCACAAAGTTGCCTCTTCTAGGTGACCTTTTTCTCATAGTAAGCTGACTTTGCTGGGGAGAACTTGATGTAGACTAATGGCCTTTCTCCCCATTTGAATATCCCAGCTCACAGCGCTCCTTCACCACTATTACCCAATTGAGATCGACCCACACCGGACCATCAAAGAGAAGCTACCTCATATGGTGGAATGGTGAGTGATGGTGGTGGAGAAAAGCTTCTGGGCCCTTGAGATGGAGTGGGCTGAGAGGGGCATATTTTTCCAGACCCTTGATGAGATGACAGGCTCCCTTACTTCACTGAGGGCTTAACTTAATGCTGTTAGTCCAGCTGTTGGAACACACCTTTCAGATGAACCCAGGGCTCCTGTGGCTGCTGCTGGAGTGGAGACACTCAGAGAATCCTTGGAATAAGTTAAAGACCCTTGGTTTCGGGGGATAAGTGCTTTGCGGAAGTGACTCTGGTCTTAGTCTGTTTTTGTGCTGTGGTCACAGAATAACAGACTAGGTAATTTACATATTTTTTCTATTTTTTGAGACAAGGTCTTTCTCTGATACCCAGGCTGAGTCTGGTGGCATGATTGTGGCTCCCTGCAGCCTTGATCTCCTGGGCTGAAGCGATCCTCCCACCTCAGCTTCCCAAGTGGCTGGTACTACAGGCACGCACCACCATGTTCAGCTCATTTTTTCTATTTTTTGTAGAGATGGGGGTCTCACCATGTTGCCCAGGCTATTTTCAACTCCTAAGCTCAAGTGATCCTCCCACTTCGGCCTCCCAAAGTCTTGAGGTTACAGGTATGAGCCACTGCACCCAGCCTAGACTGGGTAATTTATAATGAATAGCAATTTATTGGCTCACAGTTCTGGAAGCAGGGAAGTCCAATTTGAAGGACTGGCTGACATCTGGCAAGGCCCTTCTTGCTGTATTATCACACCGTAGAAAGGCAAAGAGAGTGGGGAGAGAGAAAGAGAAAGAGAGGAATTATTATTTTTTTGAGCTGTCTCTCTCTGTCATCCAGACAGGAGTGCAGTGGCGCAATCTCAGTTCACTCAAACCTCTGCCTCCCAGGTTCAAGTGATTCTCCTGCCTCAGCTTCCCAAGTAGCTGGGAGGCACGTGCCATCACGCCCGGCTAATTTTTTATATTTTTAGTAGAGGTGGGGCTCACCATGTTAGCCAGGATGGTCTCAATCTCCTGACCTTGTGATCTGCCTGCCTCAGCCTCCCAAAGTGCTGGGATTACAGGCGTGAGCCACCGCACAGGGTGAGAGGAATTCTTTTTATAAGGATCTGTGACAATGACATTAATCTATTCATGAGGACAGTGCCCCCATGACACTTCCCATTAGGCCCCATCTTTCAACACCTCCACATTGGAGATCAAGTTTCTAACACATGAACTTTGGGGGACACATTCAAACCACAGCAATCATCATCACTGGACAGAGCCCCAGTTCTCCAGATAGAGGGGTCACGGAGGAAGGGATTCAGAAGGAAGAGTTTCGACTTAAGCAGTCAGCTTGCTCCCCAGTTGTCTCTGTTGGGTTGCTTTCTCATTCTCTTCATCTCTTCATCTTCTTCCTTTTTTTTTTTTTTTTTTTTTTGAGACGGAGTTTCACTCTTGTTACCCAGGCTGGAGTGCAATGGCGCGATCTCGGCTCACTGCAACCTCCGCCTCCTGGGCTCAGGCAATTCTCCTGCCTCAGCCTCCTGAGTAGCTGGGATTACAGGCACGCGCCACCATGCCCAGCTGATTTTTTGTATTTTTAGTAGAGACGGGGTTTCACCATATTGACCAGGATGGTCTCGATCTCTTGACCTCGTGATCCACCCGCCTTGGCCTCCCAAAGTGCTGGGATTACAGGCTTGAGCCACCACGCCCGGCCGCCCTGCTACTTTTTATATATATATATATATTTTTTGAGACGGAGTTTTGCTCGTTACCCAGGCTGGAGTGCAATGGCGCGATCTCGGCTCACTGCAACCTCCGCCTCCCGGGCTCAGGCAATTCTCCTGCCTCAGCCTCCTGAGTAGCTGGGATTACAGGCACGTGCCACCATGCCCAGCTAATTTTTTGTATTTTTAGTAGAGACGGGGTTTCACCATGTTGACCAGGATGGTCTCGATCTCTCGACCTCGTGATCCACCCGCCTCGGCCTCCCAAAGTGCTGGGATTACAGGCTTGAGCCACCGCGCCTGGCCTACTTTTTATATTTTTATCAGTGATGGGGTTTCCCCATGTTGGCCAGGATGGTCTCGAACTCTTGACCTCAGATGATCTGCTTGCCTTGACCCCACAAAGTGCTGGTATTATAGGCATGAGCCACCATGCCCAGCCACTCTCTTCCTTTTAAGGACAGATAACATCCTTCAGGAAGCTCTGTGGAAAAAGATGAGGCCTCTGTCGGTAATGCTATCAGAGAGGACTTGGCTCTGTAAAGGGAAAGGATGATTGATTTACTTGAGTGACTTGAATGTGGGGTTTTGTGGGGTGTCTGTTTCTAGGTGGACCAAAGCGCACAATCTCCTATGTCAGCAGAAGATTCAGAAGTTTCAGATAGCCCAGGTGGTTAGAGAGTCCAATGCAATGCTCAGGTAAGTGTCTTGCTCTGGAAAACATTTCTGCCGGATTATTTGAAACCGTTTTTTTTTTTTTTCTTTTCAAAAAAATGAGGAGAGTAGAAAGGAGTTAGTTGTTTAAAGGACTGGAAGAGACATGTCACTATGAACAACTGATGTGTTACAGCTAAAGGATTTCTCTGCCTTGCTAGGAAATAGTCAGCAGCTAGTGGATGCAGTGCAAGACGGCCAGGGAGCCATCTCTGAGAACAAACCAAGTCTAGCTCATTTTTCACAATGGTCAAAGATTTTTGGGGTCCCTCTGGTGACTGGTGTTCTTCATGGCGACTGAGAGTTGGCTAGGCTGGGACCCTTGATCATTACTGGACGGCTGTCTCTGCTGGAGATTTCTTTCCTGGAGGAGGGACCAGGGCTCATAAAGGAAGGAGTGACATGGGTACCTGCCCTCAAGGGCTGTACATCCTAATTGGGGAGATTGGCTAGCTCCTGAAAAGCCGACAGTGGAGACGTGCTGACCCAGTAAGTGCCAGGGTGGGAGTGGGTGCACTCTAGTGAAGGTGCCCAGGTTAGCTGCCTGGTTGTATGGACAGCAACAGAAAATATGCCCACCTTTTGCTACAACAGCATCTCTCCCCGGTATATACCCCAGAAAAATGAGGACACGTAGCCACTACACGACATGCATGGGGTTTTCATAGCAGCCGTATCCTTAACAGCTGAAACCTGGAAATTTCTCAATTGTCTATCAAGACGAAGCTGGGTAGAAAAATTGTGGCATATTTGTATGATAGAATAGCAGTGATAAAGAATAAACTCATTCCATGCAAAATATAGATAAACTACCCAGCATTGTATTGAACAAAATAAGTGAGGCACAAAAGAGTACATTGTGTATGAGTCCATTTATATGAAGTTCAAGGACAGGCAAAGTTAATCGATGGGAGGGATGATACTGACTGGGAGAGACCACGAGGGAGGATTACGCTAGTTAGTTACATGGGTGTATATGTATATCAGAAGTGACTGAGCTGAACACTTAGGATTAGCACATTTTAACCACGTATTGAATATATCATATGGCTTATTTATTTGTTGAGATGGAGTCTCACTCTTTTGCCCAGGCTGGAGGGCAGTGGCGCAATCTGAGCTCACTGCAACCTCTGCCTCCCGGGTTCAGGCGATTCTCTCAAGTAGTTGGGATTGCAGGTGCTCGCCACTACTCCCGGCTAATGTCTGTATTTTTTTTTTTTGGTAGAGATGGGGTTACACCATGTTGGCCAGGCTGGTCTGCCTTGGCCTCCCAAGGTGCTGGGATTACAGGTGTGAGTCTGCTCAATTTTAAATGTTTTTTTTTTCAAGTTTTTGTTGTTGTTGTTGTTGTTGGAGACAGGGTCTTGCTCTGTCTCCCCAGGCTGGAGTGGAGTGGTGCAGTCATGGCTCACGGTAGCCTTGACCTCCAGGGCTCAAGCCATCCTCCTGCCTCAGCCTCCCAACAGATGCAGGTCCCCATGTCTGGCTAATTTTTAAATTTTTGTAGAGATGCGTTTTCCCTGTGTTGCCCAGGCTGGTCTTGAACTCCTGGACCCAAGAGATCCTGCCTCTGCCTCCCAAAGTGCTGGGATTATGAGCATGAGCCATGATGCCTACCCTAAAAGTTTAAAAAATATATATAACCCATCAGGTGTGGTGGCTCAAGCTTGTAATCCCAGCACTTTGGAAGGCCAAGGTAGGTGGGTGGCTTGAGCCCAGGAGTTTGAGCCCAGGAGTTTGAGGCAACACGGGAAAATCCCATCTCTACAAGTCATAAAAATATTAGCCAGATGTGGTTGTATGCACTTGTGGTCCCAGCTACTTGGGAGGTTGAGGCGGGTGGATCACTTGAGCCAGGGAGGTCGAGGTTGCAGTGAACTGTGATTGTGCCACTGCACTTTGGCCTGGGCAACAGAATGAGACCCTGTCTCACAAAAAAACCCAAAACACAAATAACTGAAGTAGGAAACAATGAACAGCAGTAGAGGCAGTGCCATTTCAGAATTGCTGATCTCGTTTCAGGGAAGGATACAAGACCTTCTTCAACACACTCTACCATAACAATATTCCCCTTTTCATCTTTTCTGCGGGCATTGGTGATATCCTGGAGGAAATTATCCGACAGATGAAAGTGTTCCACCCCAACATCCACATCGTGTCTAACTACATGGATTTTAATGAAGATGTGAGCCAGATCCTGTTTGGGCTGAGAAAGGATGAGGGGTGGGGACCACCAGCCAGGATGGTTTACTCTGCAGGAACCCTAACCTGGGGGGGAAGGGGAGGGAAGGTATGCTGGCTTCTTCACCCTTAGGCAGTTGTTTATGGGTTACTTTTTGGTCAGGCACGGTGGCTCACCTCTGTAATCCCAGCACTTCAAGTTGCCGGGGCAGGTGGATCACCTGAGGTCAGGAGATCAAGACCAGCCTGGCCAACATGGTGAAACTCCATCTCTAAAAATACAAAAATTAGCTGGGCGTGGTGGTGGGTACCTGTAATCCCAGTTACTTGGGAGGCTTAGGCAGGAGAATCGCTTGAACCCAGGAGGCGGAGGTTGTAGTGAGCCAAGGTCACACCACTGCACTCCAGCCTGGGCAACAGAGTAAGACTCCATCTCCAGAACAAACAAACAAACAAACAAACCTTTCGAAGGACCCTCTCTCTTTGCTGTTTGCCTGACAGTCAACTCTCTGCCCTGGGGTAGCTAGTTTATGGGCCTGCCCTGCCCCTTGTCACTGTCATGGGGTTTGTGCCATCCTGGGTCCTGAAAGGCTTGGGCTTTGATTTGTTTTTCCCAAGCCAGAGGTGGGCTGCTCGAACTCATCCACGTTCTGGCTTTTTCCCCCATAAAACTGATGGTTGGAATTTTCATCACATGGACCTGCAGTGAGGACGTGGCCTGCAGCTGAGCATAGCATACATGTAACTTGAGCGGCATTTAAATCACAGCTTTGTGCATCCAGAACAGATGAACTGCAATATTGGGCAGCTCCTGTCCACTTAAACTGAGTTACAGACTTATCCTGTAAAAGGCCCTGGTGTCAATATTTAGGCTTTGTGGGCCATGGTATCTCTGTAGCAACTGCCCAACTTTGCCGTTATAGCACAAAAAAGCAGCCATAGCACCATGTAAACAAATGAGTTTGGCTGTATCCCAATAAAACTTTATTTACAAAAGCAGGCCAAGTCTGGCCCCTGGGCCCCAGTTGAGGCTACAGTGAAGCATTGGCATTATCTATCACTTTTGGAATTCCCTTTTCTCTGTGACCGAGACAGTGGGAACTGGTGCTGCATGGATCTCTGCAAACCTTCCGTCTGTCTCTTGTCTTCATTATTTAGGGTTTTCTGCAGGGATTTAAGGGCCAGCTCATACACACATACAACAAGAACAGCTCCGTGTGTGAGAACTCCGGCTACTTCCAGCAACTTGAGGGGAAAACCAATGTCATCCTGCTGGGAGACTCCATCGGGGACCTCACCATGGCCGATGGGGTTCCTGGTGTTCAGAACATTCTCAAGATTGGCTTCCTGAATGACAAGGTGGGTAGAGGACCCGGCTACTCCTCTTCATGGTTTTCTTCTCTTTGAATGCCCATTAACAAACGCCGTTGAACACATTACTTTTCTTTTTTTTTTGAGATAGAGTCTTGCTCTGTTTCCCAGGCGGGAGTGCAGTGGCGTGATCTTGGCTCACTGTAGCTTCCATCTTCCAGGTTCAAGCCATTCTCCTGCCCCTACCTCCTGAGTAGATGAGACCACAGGTGACTGCCACCACGCTTGACTAATTTTTATATTTTTTACTAGAAACAGGATTTCGCCATGTTGGCCACGTTGGTCTCAAACTCCTGACCTCAACTGATAGGCCCACCTCAGCCTCCCAAAGTGCTGGGATTACAGGCGTGAGCCACTGTGCCACCTTTGAACACGTCTGTATGCTAGACACTGGGTAAAGAAGGAAGACACAAGCTGTATTCTCTTGGAGCACATAATCTCATAGGAAACAGAAACCCAGTGATTACAGGTTTGTTTTACCACATGACCTGACAGAGCTTGGATCAGGCCGGCATGGCATCCTAGCCTCAATTTATTTATTTATTTTTTGAGACGGAGTCTTGCTCTGTTGCCAGGTGGAGTGCAGTGGCGCAATCTCAGCTCACTGCAACCTCCGTCTCCCGGTTCAAGCGATTCTCCTGCCTCAGCCTCCCAAGTAGCTGGGATTACAGGTGTGTACCACCACAACTGGCTAATTTCTGTATTTTTAGTAGAGACGAGGTTTCACCATGTTGGTCAGGCTGGTCTCGAATTTCTGACCTCAGGTGATCCACCCACCTTGGCTTCCCGAAGTGCTGGGATTACAGGCATGAGCCACCGTGCCTGGCCCCTGGCCTCAATTTACTGAGTGTCTAGTGCACAGTCACTCCTCTCAGCATTTCATGGTAATTAATTCACTTGGTTTTTGTCATAATCCTTTAAGGTAGTGACTGTTATCCTCATTTTACAGATAAGGAAATGGAGGCTTGGGGTTAAGTAAGTTGCCTAAGAAGATAGAGTTCAGCACACAGTGGGGCTGATTACTAGTCCTTCTAAATCATACTGGAAGGCTTGATTGCAATGGGAAATGTTGGTACTGAGGACATGGGTTTATAATTTAGAGAAGAAAAATTATAAGAACAGATGAGGCTGGGCGCGGTGGCTCAAGCCTGTAATCTCAGCACTTTGGGAGGCCGAGGCGGGTGGATCACGAGGTCAAGAGATCGAGACCATCCTGGTCAACATGGTGAAACCCCGTCTCTACTAAACATACAAAAAATTAGCTGGGCATGGTGGCTCGTGCCTGTAATCCCAGTTACTCAGGAGGCTGAGGCAGGAGAATTGCCTGAGCCCAGGAGGCGGAGGTTGCGGTGAGCCGAGATCGCGCCATTGCACTCCAGCCTGGGTAACAAGAGCGAAACTCCGTCTCAAAAAAAAAAAAAAGAACAGGTGAAAGACTGACAGGGGTGAAAGCAACATTGCCATAAAGGGGCCCAAATATGGGGTGAAGCTAGGCGGCTGCCAGAGTGCGTCCCCACAGCTGCAGGCACTGGAGCCCACCAGGATGCTTAAGCCGGATGAAACTGGGGCCTGGTCAGGTGCCGTGGCTCATGCCTGTAACCCCACCGCTTTGGGAGGCCAGGGCAGGGGAATCACTTGAGGCCAGGAGTTCAAGACCAGCCTGGGCAACATAATGAGACCCTGCCTCAACAACAGCAACAGCAAAAATTAGCTGGGCGTGGTTAGCATGCCTCTAGTTCCAGCTACGCAGGAGGCTGAGATGGGAAGATCACTTGAGTCCAGGAGGTTGAAGCTTCAGTGAGCCAAGGTAATGCCCCTGCACTTCCGCCTCGGTAGTACAGTAAGACCCTATCTCAAAAAAAGAGAGAAAGAGAGAGAGAGAGACTGAGAGAAAGAAAAAAAGAGAGAAAGAAAAAGGAAGAAAAAAGGAAAGAAGGAAAGAAAAAAAAGGAAAAGAAAGGAAAGAAAACAAAGAACATAAAAAAAGAAAGAGAAAATTCAGTCCAGATGGATTAGAGGCAACATTTGTTTGGGTTTTTTTTTTGAGATAGGGCCTCACTCTGTCACCCATGCTGAAGTGCCATGGCTCAGTCTTGGCTCAGTGTAGCCTTGACTTCCTGGGCTCAGGTGATCCTCCTGTCTCAGCAGGGACTACAGGCTCCCACTACCATGCCTGGCCAATTTTTGTAGAGATGGGGTTTTGCTATGTTGCCTGGGCTGGTCTCAAACTCTTGGGCTCAGATGATCTTTCTGCCTTAGCCTCCCGAAGTGGCAACATCTGGTCTTTTGTTTTTATTCCTTGTTACTGTCCTTTGATATTGACCCAAGGATTAATTGAGATAGCCCATGCCCATCCCTCGTCTGTCTCTGAAGGACAGGTCCCGTAACCTTGAACTCCTCTGGCTCTCAAACGGGAGCTGGAAGTTGCTGCTTGAATGCCCTCCTCCCCAGCCCCAGGGGCTTTGAGAGTGGGCTTCGGAGGGCAGGGCATTTGGGGACCCTCAGGTGTCTTCCTCTCACCCCGGGCAGGTGGAGGAGCGGCGGGAGCGCTACATGGACTCCTATGACATCGTGCTGGAGAAGGACGAGACGCTGGATGTGGTCAATGGGCTGCTGCAGCACATCCTGCACCAGGGGGACCAGTTGGAGATGCAAAGCCCCTGAGGGCGCAGGCTCCAGCCAGGCCTTCGGGCCTTGGCGAGGAGGGGGCACCTCCCTGGAGTCCGCTCCCCATTGAACACAGAGCAGAGGCCAGGGAGGCCAGCAGCAGCCGGGTCCTTCCATGCCCTTCCGTCCTCCTTTCCCTGAGCGCATGCATCACCAGAGGCTTGAGGGGCCCCGTCACGTGGCAGGGCACAAGCACTGTTCCTGGTGAACCTGGGACCATAGCATGCCAGTGCTCTAGGGATCGTCTAGTCCAGGGATTTTTTTTTTTTTTTTTTTTTTTTTTTTCAAAAATTTTAAATGTGGGAAATTGTTCTTCAAACAAATGTAATGTGTGAAACACATCAAAATTTTAAAAATGAAAAATCAGCTGTTTTGATTTAAGAGATGTGGGTGGGGGTAGAACCTGGACCTCTTTGCCCTGGGGGCACATGTCACGTGATTCTTCTAGGGCTCCACGGAACACAGCTTGAGAACCGCCACATATCAGCCTGGGAGTCCGTCTGAGCGCAGCCTGATTGTGTCTGTGTGGTTCAGGGTGGGGCTGAAAGGGTATGTTCGAGCCTACAGTGGTTTGTCTTTATTCTGCTTCAGCCATCAAACTTGAAATTCCATTGGGATTCGTGGGGTTGAGGCAACCCTGAGCACCCCCTCTTCAGGGCTCCCCTAGGGGATGCATGTGGGTGTGGATTTCCCCTCATGCCCTAGGTTCTGCGTTCCCCTCCTCTTACAGGTCATGGACACTAAAGTGAATGACCCGAAAAGGGGAATTTAGAGCAGGACCCTGAGGGAGGCTGTGCTGTGGTGAAACACGAGTGATGTGTGCACTGTGGTCTTGCATTATTGGGCCGACTTCACAGTCTCTTTCCCTTCTTCCCTCCCTGTTGACTTGGATGGTCAAGAACTAGCTGATTCTCTCTAGGGCACTTTTTGTTTGTTTGTTTGTTTGTTTGGTTTATTTATTTATTTATTTATTTATTTATTTAGAGATGGAGTTTTCGCTCTTGTTACCCAGGCTGGAGTGCAATGGTGCGATCTCGGCTCACTGCAACCTCCGCCTGCTGGGTTCAATCAATTCTCCTGCCTCAGCCTCCTGAGTAGCTGGGATTACAGACACACGCCACCATGCCCAGCTAATTTTTTGTATTTTTAGTAGAGATGGGGTTTCACCATGTTGACCAGGATGGTCTCAATCTCTTGACCTCGTGATCCACCCACCTCGGCCTCCCAAAGTGCTGGGATTACAGGCTGGAGCCACCGCACCCGGCCTCTAGGACACTTTTTGAATAAAAAATATAGAAGATCCAGTTCAGGCGGGCACGGTGACTCACTCCTGTAATTCCAGCCTTTGGGAGGCGAAGGCGGGTGGATCATGAGGTCAGAAGTTCGAGACCAGCCTGGCCAACATAGTGAAACCCCATCTCTACTAAAAATACAAAAAATCAGCCAAGCGTGGTGGCAGGTGCCTTTAATTCCAGCTACTCTGGAGGCTGAGGCAGGAGAATTACCTGGGCCCGGGAGGCAGAGGTTGCAGTGAGCCAAGATCGCACCACTGTGCTCCAGCTTGAGCAACAGAGTGAGATTCTGTCTCAAAAAAAAAAAAAAAAGGCCAGATGCAGTGGCTCATAATTAATTGGGAGGTTGAGGTGGGCAGATCACAAGGTCAGGAGTTCGAGACCAACATGGTGAAACCCTGTCTCTATTTAAAAAAAAAAAAAAAAAAAAAAGCCAGTTCAGCATTTTCTTAATTTCGAGGAAATCACTGGCACCCCTTCCTGCAGAGTTTGGCTAGCTGTTGGAATGTTCTGTCATTCTGCAGAAGTGGAAAGTAATGGAGATGTTACTGAAGTCCCACTGTATGCCAGGTGCTACTCTGGGCACTCGGGTGCCTGCCAGTTGACCCTCACAATGACCCTGCCAGATCGCTCAGGCGGATGGGTAACTTGTCCAAACTCCGTAGCTAGGAGCTAGACCCAGGATTCAAATGTTTCTGACCACAGTCCATGCCATTTGCTGCATTTCTCTGCTTCAGGCCTGTCCCATTAGGCTTTGGGAGGAAAGGGTGGTTACCATCTGAGGCTGGGTCAGTAACCACTTTCAGACTTCAATCAAGTAGCTTTCTTGGCTGGCACAGTGGCTCATGCTGTAATCCCAGCACTTTGGGAGGCTGAGGTGGGGTAGCTACTGGGGTAGCTGAGGCAGAGATTGAACCCAGGAGGCAGAGATTGCAGTGAGCTAAGACAGCACCATTGCGCTCCAGCCTGGGCAACAGATCGAGACCCTGTCTCAAAAAAAAAGAAAACAAAAAAAAAGCAGACTTCAGTCAAGGAGCTTTCTGGATGCTTTGGGGCCAGAGAATGTCAGTCACTGGCCATGGGGAGCAGTCAGGTCTCTTAGGGGACTCTGGGCAAGAAGTGCTGATGGAGGCAGTTTGCTGAGTCCAGTCCTGTCATTTTCTTTCCCAAGTCCCCACCCATCCTCAGAAGGCCCGGGTCATCCCAGGCAAGCAAGAGCAGATGGCCTGGCTGGTGGCTGAAGTCTTCCTACAAGACACTGTGGAGATCTGAACCCAGTTACCTTTCCCCTAGCAAGGAGGAGGATGGGCAGGTGGTAACAGGTGGCGGCCAGGAGCAGGGAGAGATGGGAAAATCGTATTGGAAATGACCGACGGAAAAGGATAATCTGACCTGTGTGCTTTAATTTAATCCTTGAGCTTTGTCGGTTGAGTTTGAGGTCAGGGACCTTTCCCATTCGATGGGGACAATTAGGGGGTGAGAATCATCACTCCATACCCTGCTGCAGGCCTCCATCCTCTACACATTCACCCCCTCCACAGACCAGGGCTCCCTTCCCACAGCAAAGGCCCCAGGTTAGGCCCAGGGCAGGCAGGAAACCTCCAGAGGGGGAGCCCCTGATGTGGGGACACGCTGTCTAGAGCTAATGAGGCCATGGAAGCAGCCTGGTTTATCTTCTTCCCCAATGTGGGGAACCCCCCACAACCCTCACTTCATCCCCTAGCCCCTCAAGCTGTTCCAAAAGACAATTAAGGCCATTGGTTTAATGTTTTATTTGGAACAAAGGAAAAAGGGACTGATACCTGTTTGGCCTTTTGAGTGTGCAGAGCTCTGCCCACCTCCCTCCCACCCCTCAGCCCCAAATCCAAGATTTCGTAGCCCTCACACCCACCCAAGCGGGTTCCCTCACACACACCCTGTTTTCTTCCTCTTCCACGGTTCCTTAGGGAAAGGTGCCGCCTTGAGGGATGAAGAGCTACCTACAGACCAGTCCTAGCCTCCAGCACCCCAAGGTCAGCTCAGCCTCCACTGGAGGCGAGGGGGAAGAGCAAAGGGCATGGGAGAGATAGGGCTGCCCCCTTCCCCAGGAGCCAGTCAGAGCCGGGGAGGAAGGCAGAGGCGTCCTAGGAAGCTGTCACAGAGAGGAATGGGGTCGGGGAGTGGGGGTGACAAGAAGTACAAATAAAGAGAAAGTATGGGGAGACAGATGACAAGCCCAGCTGTGCTAGTGACGTGGAGGGGAGGTATGGTGAGAGACCAGCCATGGCCCTGTCCAACCCCAGGCTCCACCAGCCCCAAACTGGCTCTGCAAATCCAAACATTTTAAGGAAGGGGTTTAGGGTTGGAAGAGAAACGGCCTAGAGGTCTGTGCTGTGGATTTTCATCTAGGGTGGTGGGAACCCCAGAGATGTCTCCTTTGCCACTGTTTTAGATGGCTCCCAGACCTCATCCCAGCAGAGGGAGGGTGACTGTCAGTAGGTCAGTCCCAGCGCCATGCCCCCCTCGCAGTGGACCTCTGTGTCTCAGGCCTGGCCAGGCTCCTGCCCCTCAGAGCTCCTCGTGGACCCGCTCCTGGTCCTCATCTGACTTTAGCTTGAGCTCCTCGACTGTGATCTTGCCGTCCTGGTTGCGGTCCTGGTTCTGGAACATGTCCCCTATGGTTTTCTCAGGGTCCTGCCCAGGCATGAGGCGTCCTTTGCCCTCACTCACTTGAGCCTTGATGAAGGTGGAGAACTGGGGGGAGGGGAGAGCCAGGAAAGTGGGGAGTGAGCATCATGGCCTTGGGAGGGGCCCTGGGTGGAGGCCAGTGAGTGCTTTCTTTTTCTGTCTTCCCAGCCTCCCCCACATGCTGCAACTCAGGAAGGACTGGGTTCCTGGTGCTGGAGTCCTGGTGAGGGTGGGGGAGGAGGCATGGCATGGGGGATAGTCCGTGACTGGGCTCCGGTAGGGAACAGTCTGCATGCGTTCCCAGAAGGTGGGGACGAGGAGCCTGAGGCATGGGACTCAACACAGGCGGGAGCACGAGGGTGGGTGGACTGGCCAGACAAGGGATGCCTTCTTCCTAGATGCTTCCTGGGTCGGGGGAGTTCGTGAGCACGGTTATTAGGACTGAACCTTCACCCACCTCCTCCGGAGGAACCTCCCCATCCTTGTTGAGGTCCATGTCTTCAAACAGGTTAGCAGGAGGGTCCTCGTGCCACACAAACAGGTAGCCTGTGGGCAGCCCATCCTCCCGGGACACCAGCTCCACCTCAAACTGCAGCACAGCACTGCCGGGGACACCCCGGGCTGGATAGAGGGCGGGAGAGGAGGGAGGGGTCCCAGTCAGGCCAGAGTCTGGGCCTTGCTTCGATGCTTCCCAGCCCACAGGCCTCAGTTTCCCCTCTTGGAGCTGTGCTGGAGAGTGGGGCACAGGATGTTTGAGCCATCCCGCAGGCATTCCTGACTCCTCCCGCCAGCCGTCAGGCCCACAATGGGCAGGAGCAACCGGGACGGATGCCAGTCTCACAGTTACGGACTGAGCACAGTGGCTCACATCTGTAATCCCAGCACTTTGGGAGGCCAACGTGGGTGGATCACCTGAAGTCAGGAGTTCAAGACCAGCCTGGCCAATATGGCAAAACCACATTCCTACTAGAAATACAAAAATTAGCTGGACATAGTAGCAGATGCCTATAATCCCAGCTACTTGGGAGACTGAGGCAGGAGAATCGCTTGAACTCAGGAGGTGGAGGTTGCAGTGAGCTGAGATCATGCAACTGCACTCCAGCCTGGGTGACAAGAGTGAGCCTCCATGTCAAAAAAAAAAAAAAAATTACTTTTTTTCTCATCCCCTCACCTCCATTCTCCCCGTGGGCCAGGTGCGGGGGCACGATGAGCTGCCGCCTCTCTCCCACACACATGCCCTGCAGGCCCGTGTCCAGGCCTTCGATCACCTTGTTGGCCCCCAGAGTCGCCTCCTGGGGGGCCCCGTAGTCATGCCTGGGGGAGAGCAGATGCCCAGGTCAGCAGCCACCCTGTCCCCTGTCAGTGTACACCCTACTCTCTCTGAGGTGGGCCCAGAACAAGCAC